TTTATGGGGAAGAAAACCAATTTTTAGGTGATATGGGTTATGGTGATGAAGCTCAAGTAGATGGCGAACAATCTTCACAAATTGAAAACAAGCCAAAAATCTTTTTAATGGGTTTAAAAAGGTATAATATTAAATTTTATTAAAAATAACAACAGAATATTATCATAATCATATAATATAGCAATAATATAATAGTCATCATAATACAAATGGAAGTATTTAATAAATATTAATATATTTCATTCAATTATTAACAGATCAGGTAAATCATCAATTCAAAAAGTTGTTTTTCATAAAATGTTACCAAACGAAACATTATTTTTAGAAACCACAAATAAAGTCGTCAAGAATGATATTTCCAATAGTTCATTTGTTCAATTTCAAATTTGGGATTTTCCAGGTCAATTGGATTTTTTTGATCCATCATTCGATTATGAACATATTTTAAATAATTGCGGTGCTATTGTTTTTGTTATTGATGCTCAAGACGAAATTGGCGAAGCCTTACAAAAACTTCATCAAACCATCAGCAAAGTTTATCAAGTATGATCCATTAATAGTTTACCAGGATTAATTTTTTTTACCAGGTTATTAATTAATTATTCTTATTACTAATATTGCAGGTTAACCCAAATATTCATTTTGAAGTATTTATTCATAAATCTGATGGTTTATCTGATGACCACAAAATTGATAGACAAAGAGATATTCAACAAAAAACTACTGAAGATTTAATGGATGCAAATATCAATGTTCACCCAAGTTTCTATGTCACTTCAATTTATGATCATTCAATTTTTGAAGCTTTTTCAAAAGTTATCCAAAAACTTATTCCACAACTCCCAACTTTAGAAAATCTTTTAGATGTTTTTATTTCAGTAAGTATCATCAGATATTTTCTATTTTCTATTTTTTATTTATTAATATTTTTATTATAATTTACTATAGAGATCAAGAATCGAAAAGGCATTTTTGGTTGATGTTGTTAGTAAAATTTATGTTGCAACTGATAATTCACCAGTTGATATGCAAACTTATGAGTTATGCAGCGATATGATTGATGTTGTAATTGATGTTTCATGTATCTATGGGTATGTAAAATAATAGTTATATTAATAACAATTGCTTTTATAATAATAATAATAACACTGTTTTTTTAATTATATTTAGTCTTAAAGAAGAAGAAGAAGGTTTAGGTTATGATCAAGAATCACACTCTGTTATTAAATTAAATAATGGTATGGTTTTATATTTAAGAGAAGTTAATAAATATTTAGCACTTGTTTGTTTACTTCGTGAAACAAATTTCGATAAACATGGTTTAATTGACTATAACTTTATCTGTTTCAAGAAAGCCATCGAAGAAGTATTTGCACGTAAAACCGCATCCAGAAAGAAAGGAAAAAAAATCACAAACTAAAATTTAATTAACAAATAGTTCATTAATTATAAAATAATAATAATAATAATAATAATCATAATAATATAATACTTTCTTTTTTTTTAATAATACTATTATACCTCCCACCATAATATATTTTTAATTTGTTATTAATAATACTTTTTAAAAAATAAAAAAAAAAAATAAAAAATAAAAAATAAAAAAAAATAAAATAAAATAAAACTTTTAATCAAAAAAAATATAAAATACCATTGATGGATTGTTTAGTTTTAAAAACTAATAGATTTTTTTTTTTTTAAAATTATTTTTATTTAAACAATTAACTCTAAAGTAAAAGTACCGGTTGGAGTTGTATTTACAGAGTAGTCTCCAGAAATTAAATCCATATCGTTGGAATTGTTGGTGGATGTGAGCTTTCCTTTATAAATGATTGGTAAATCGATTCCATCACCGCTGATAATTTCATTCTCTGTTATTGTAACAGTCATATCTTTTTCAAGAGTACCCTTGAATTTGGTTTTTGTTTTTAAATCTACCCATTCGACGATACCTTCAATATCTTTTTCATTCTTTCTACTTGTAACTTTTAATGAGAATTTGTATGGAGTTTCATAATCTCCATCAAATGAGGCACCGTCAACCAAATAGTCTAAATCTAATGGTGGTTTTGGTGTGGAAACTGGTTTGGCAGTATCAACAGACATTGGGGCCGAGGTTGAGGTGGTGGCAGAGGTATTGTTATTATTATTATTTGGAATTGGGCCATTTAAAGTTAAACTAAAAGTATTTTTGAGGTCTTCATTTTTTTGATCTTCTGGGTCATCATAAACAATTGATCCTTTGATTTGTAGTTTTAAACCTTGAACGATTTTAGCTTCATATTTATTTGGTAATTCGACTTGATCATTATCTTTGGTAAGGAGAGTATGTTCATTTATTTTAATTGTGTCACCCTCAATTTCAGCAGTAAAAGCAGTTTCTGCATCATTCAAATTAATCCATTTAAATGTACCTTGAATAGTTGATTTTCCTTCTTTTTCATCATCATCCCTTTTTAATATATTACAAACAAATGGATAGGCATCCTGGGTAGTTGTATAAAATAATGTTCCTATCCATTGTTTATCAATTTCGATGCCATCACTTTCTCTTTTATTTCTTTTACCCAATACTGATTTTGAATTTGTGGTATCTGCATCTCCATTCTTTGATTTTGAAATAAAATCTTCAACATTTAATCTTCTTGATTCTAAAAATGAATTAGTAACAAACTTTTCTGTTACAATTTTAATATCTGATTTAACTTTTTCTAATTCTTTTTTATTATTTTCATCATCAATATCATTACAAATTACTAAATTGGTCTAAATTCAATTTATAAATTAGTTAGATTTTTATTCAATTTTTTGATTTAATATATAGAAGGTAATTACCTTTTTATTTAATGTTTTTGAATAAATGCCACCACACTCTTCAATTGTATCGGTGAGTTTATCTTTATCAGATACATTACCTATAATAATAAAATAATCATTTTCAAATAATTCTTCAGTCGACATTATATTATTATTATTATTGTTATTATTATATTATTGTTATTAGGACAATTTTTATTAATGAATTAAAAAAAAAAAAAACATAGATAATTTGAAAATTTTTTTTTTTAAATTTTTTTTTTTTTTTTCTAATAAAAAATATTTTTTTTGTAAAAAAGATATTATTTTTTTATTTTTTTTTATTTTTGCATACTATGAGGCGATAATAAAATTCAACACCAATCATGTCTGATAATTTATTTTTAGCAGATATTAACTTACCATTACTGAAATGGTTAACCAATTTAAAATTAAATAGAGATTTATTTTCAACTGCACGGAATCAAAATTTAAAATCAATAACAGAAATTTACAGAGATTTGCAATACAATATAATCCCACCAAAGGATGAAGAGTTACAAAATCTGTGGACAAGCTTATATGACTTAAATAACTATTTTATAAACTCAATCGATTATAATCAAATTGTAACTATTAAAATATAATTTTTATTTTTTCTTTTTTTAACAAACAAATCACTGACAACAAAATATATTTAGGAAAAATCATTATTATCATTAAAGTCGAAATATAGAAACGTTTATTTAAAAGGATTTTACGAGATTTGCAATTGGTTTAATTCATTAGCAAACGAGTTTGACCCAAATAATTTTAATAGCAATGAGGGTGTTAGCAATAGTAATAGTAGCAATAATAATCCAGCAAATAAAATCAATGATATTATAAATAATTTAAATAGTTCAAGAAAATTAGAAAATAAAGAAAATAGCTTAAAATTATTGGTATCATTTGAAGCCTATGTACCAACAGTCGAAGAAATTAAAAGGATTTATTGTATTGAAAATAAAGAAATTTTAATCGATAAATCAAATAGCCTACCGGCTGACTTTAAATTGTTTCATAGTTTTTCACTACTTAATCTATATGTATTCCTAATAATTGTTGTTAGAATTTATAAATTAATTAATGAAATCTATAAAACCTCAAGCCCAGAGATTATTCAACTAACCAAAGAATATTCAAATCAGATCAAAACTTTGGAAGAGTTTTTACAATTTTTAAAAATTAACAACCTATTCTATGTGCCAAATAAAAAAGAGGTTTTATTGAGATATTCAACTAATATTTATAATAATGATAATAATCAAACTAATAATAGCTCTAATAATGGTAATAGTAATCAAAATTTAAATAATTTAATAAATAATGGCAATGTTAGTACAAGCAGTTTGGGCAGCTTGGGTGGTTTGGTAAATGATCAAGTTAAGATATTTGAATTTACCGAAAAAGAATTAAAATATTCCAAAAGATATTTTAATTATAATGAATTTTCAATTCGACCCGCAGAATTACCATCCTCGCTAAACAATAACGAAATCAATAATTTAATATTTTATACAACTACAAGTAATAATACATTTAAAATGATTCATCATAAACCAATTGATATCAAACCTAAAATAATTTTATCAATTTATAACAATATTTTATCAATGTCCAAAATAGATAATAATATCAATAACAATAGTGGTATCAATAGTAATGGTAGTAATAGCAGCAACAATATAAACTCATCATTTAGCAGTTTTAACTCATCATTTAGCAATTTAAATTTAAAAGACTCTATTAATAATGAGGCTGGTTTAGATTTTGGTGTGAATTGCGAAGTTAGTATTGGAAATAACCATCACCACTTACTAATAGACTCAAATAACAAAGAATGCTTTATCTGTAGATTTAGGTCCGATTTTTTAATGGTTTGCTCGCATTGTAATAATAAACTAGTGTGTCATTTATGCTCTGTAAATAAGACATGTTGGGATTGTTACTTTAAAGAAGAACAGCATTATATTCCTTTAGAAGTGGTTGTAAAATTAGAGGATAGAAAGTTCCCTAGGTTAATATATCTATTATTAAAGTCCTACTCCTTTAGAGATTTAATGAACTCACTCTATCAAGATAAGTTTGAACGTGACACCGTTATATCCCTCAAAGATAGACTAACCTACAAGTTGCATAAAACAAAACTATACAATTTTCATCTAGTTATTCCAAACAATAAAAACAATGGCCAGTTTAAAGAAATTAAAATATTTGATGACTATAGTTTAATAGTTTCATTACGTTTGTTAATGAACTATATATTATCAAATTATATCATCGATCAATCAAATACAACCTCTTCAAATGATTTAAATGACCATATCAAAAACAATAATCAGAATTTATTAAATAATTTAATCAATAACTCTGCACAGAATCTAAGCTATAATAGCGATATTAATAATAACAACAATAATAATAGTAGCTCAAGTTTCGTTGCAAACGATAGTGATAGCAACATTGATGATGATATTTCAAGCATAGGTAATAGCAATACCAATAATTCAATGAATAGCAATACTGGGGGTTCAAATTTTAATATCAAAAACAACCCATTTAGAAAAAACAGTACAGGCTCTGGTACTGGTACACGTGGTTCAAATAATAGCAATAATAGCAATAATAGTAGAGGTGATAGCAATAACCATAATAACAATAATAATCATAGTCATAATAATGATAATAGTACATTTAAAAATAAGAACATTATAGTAACAATTGAAAACCCATTAATATGGAGCATAGAAAAATTTGTATTAAATGTTTCAGAAGCAAATATCGAAATTGATAGCTCATTAAAAATTCCATTTCAATTTATTAAAACAGAGGATACTCCATTTGCATCAGGTGGTCAAGCAAATATATATATGGTGAAACACATCGAATGGCCAGTTTTATCAAACTTTCCATCAGACTCATTTGTTTTCAAACATTTTGTCGAAAATAAAGATGCTTTGCAAATCGAAGAAGATAAAGAGCGTGAACTTTATGAAGAAAAGATTTACTATGCCTATAAAACATCAGAAGGAATTGATAATTTCAAATACAACTTTTCAAATATCGAACAAACCGACAAGAAATCACTAGCCACTTTATTTTATGAAGAAGTTGATAAATTGAAGAAATTGCAATTCTCTGAATATATCATTAAGATGCCAGCTATATCCGATGACGACCCAAATAGAAGGGGAATGCTTTTAGAATGTGCTATGGGCTCACTCAAAACCCATCTTTTAGAATTTCGTTCATGGAAGTTAATAATTAGATTTATGATGGACATTTGTTTGGGTATGATGGATATTCATAGATGTCAAATAATTCACCGTGATTTAAAACCAGACAATATCTTGGTGTTTGAAACATCATCAAAAAATAGGGAGGAATTTGGGGGTCTAATTTGCAAAATTACAGATTTAGGTGCAGGTATAAATAATGTGTTGGTGCACGATAACAACTTTACATCAACTTTTCATACAGACGATTATGTTCCAGAAGAATATGGTAAATATCATTATGATGGTGTATTGGTCGACATCTATTCATTTGGTTGCACATTCTTTGAAATGATTACAAAGCATCGTTATCAGCACAAACATCCCACACCATTACACAAAGACTTTCTCACAACCGATTTTCAATATATTCCAATCAGAATTAAAAATTTAATTGCCTCATTAGTAACAGATGCATCACAAAGAAAACAATCATTTGAAGAAGTTTATTACGATTTAGAAGATATATATAAGAATGTTATTCCAGGTCTCCCAGATATACCTCTTTCTATAAAAGTACAATCACCCCACCCACTTTGTAAAAGATGCAACCCTCCAAAATAAAAATAAAAATGAAAAAATAAAACAAAACAAAAATAAATAAAATAAAATATTTGTATTAGTATATGTAGATTATAAGAAAAAAGAGGGAATCAATACTTTGTATAAGTAATCAACTGTTTATTTTTATTTTATTTTTTGGGAATTTTTTTTTTTCTTATTTGTTTATCTAAATTAATTTTCGTTTTTTTTTTTTTTAATTTTAAAATAATTTTTTTTTTATTTTTTTTTTTAAAATTTTCCAATTTTTCATTTTTTTTTATTTTTTTTTTTTTCGTTATTTCAAATGAAATTATAATTAGGAATATATGATTTTTAGATCAGTTTTTAAAAATAGTTTTATAAAAAATCAACAACTAAATATAATAAATAATTATTTATCAAAAAATTTAGTTTTTCAAAATAGTAATAATAATTTTAACTTAATAAACAAAAGATATTTTAATAATAATAATAATATAATAAATAATAAAATGGAGGATGTTAAAATAACAGAAACTACCTCCACAGAGAGTAATCCCTCAACATCATCAACAACAACAACAGCTAATAAAGATACAGAAACTAAATCAAATTTAATTGAAGCAAATGATAATGTTGTTAAAGTAACAGAAAATACAACAACCATTTTGTATAATAACCAAAATGAAGTATTTTACAATCCAGTACAAGAGTTTAATAGAGATATGTCAATTTTAATGATTAGAATGTTTATTGAAGAAAAGAAAAGAGAAATGGAAGCTAAAGGTAAACCATTTAAAAAGGTTAGAATTTTAGAAGCACTTTCAGCTACAGGTTTAAGATCAATTCGTTATGCTAAAGAAATTGATGATTTAGATTATATTTTAGCCAATGATATCGAACAAAGTGCTGTCGACTCAATTGTAAAGAATCGTGCATATAATGGTGTTGAAGAAAGTCTCATTCGTCCAAATCTTGGTGATGCTAGTTTAGTAATGATGCAAAATCGTAGTTATGCTAACAACTATGATATTGTCGATGTAGATCCATATGGTGCCCCAACTGTCTTTTTAGATTCTGCTGTCCAAGCTGTTGCTGATGGTGGTCTTTTATGTGTTACTGCAACCGACTCTGCTGTTTTATGCGGTAGTTACCCAGAGGCATGTTTCCACAAATATCAGTCAGTTCCAATTCACCGTGCAAATTATTGTCATGAAATGGGTCTTCGTATTCTTTTACATTCAATTGAACAACATGCAAATAGATATAAGAGACACATTGTACCAATCCTTTCATTAAGTGTCGATTTTTATGTACGTGTTTTTGTTCGTGTTTACTACTCACCATCTGAAGCTAAGAAAGCTTTCTCAAAAATGTGTAATATTTATAGTTGTACTGGTTGTGGTAGTTTTGTCAAGCAACCATTAGGTGTAGTTAAACAAGAAGAAAATGGCAGCATCAAATATAAAACACCAATGCTCACCAAAGAACTCACCCAAACCACTTGCAATCACTGTAGTAAAGTTTATCAAGTAGCTGGTCCATTTTGGGCAAATAGAATTCATGATGTTGAATTTTGTAAGAAGGCATTAAAATACCTCGATGAAAATCCAACCAAATTCAATACATCACGTCGTATGTTTGGTATTTTAACATCAGTTTGTGATGAAGTTCAAGACTCAATGTTTTATTTCAAGACTGATCATTTCACCCATACTCTTCATCTTTCAACTCCAGCAACCGCCATGATCAAATCTGCAATTCTTAATGGTGGTTATAAATGTTCATCAAGTCATATCTTACCATGTATCAAAACTGATGCACCATTCGATTTCATTTGGGATATATTTAGAGAGTATGCCAAAGAAAAACCACCAAAGAATTTAAGTGAACACACTCCAGCTTTTCACATTCTCGCAAAAGAAATTAAACATAAAGTAGATTTCACCAAACATCCATTAGCCAAAGGTGAACACCCAGATGTTCCAAAATATTTCCCAAATCCAAAAGAAAATTGGGGTCCAGGTTCAAGAGCAAAAGGTAAAAATTTAAATAATAAAAGAGATGGTGATGAAGCTCAAATTAATAATAAAAAACGTAATCAAAAAAAGAAAAAAGAACCAACAACTTGTAAATATTTCCTTTTAAATAAATGTATAAAAGGTGACAAATGCGAAAATATACATGATAATAATAATAACAATAATAATAATAATGTTGAAAACAAATCAGAACCAGCCACATCAACAACAGTAGAAACCAAAAATTAAATTTATTTTTTCAAATAATAATTTAAAAAAAAAAAATAAAAAAAAGCTATTTTGCCATTATTAAATCTATATTTTTTTTTTTAATTTTTTTAAATATTTTTTATGAACATGTGTGAGTTGCCCAATATTTTTTTTTTTTGTGCATTTTACAAATTTTAAAGGTGATTCTTAACCAATTATTGTTTGATTAAATGTATTTTTTTTTTTTTTTTTTTTTTTTTTGGGGGTAATAACCACTTTTTTTTTTTTGGAAGGGTAAAATTTTTTTTTTTTTTTTTTTTTTTTTTTTTTTTTCATTTCCATTTCATTTATTTTAACTGTAATATTATGTAAGTTATATTATTTTTCATATTTTTTTGTAATTATATTTATAATTATATTTTAAAATTTTTAAATCTTTAAATAAAAAAAATTTTTAATTAATATAATTTTTTTTTTTTTTATAAGTTTTATAGATGAATATTTTAAAAATGAGCTCCCATATCCCAGATGGTGCTGAACAAACCAGACCAACTCCATCAGTAAGAGAATTATTTGCCAGACAATTATTACAAAATACTCATATTCATGATGAACCACATCTCGAACAAGTAATTCTTGACAACAAAGCTGCAAGATTAAAAGGTGATGTTCCTCTTCCATCAGTGGGCATTATTGGTGCTGGTATGGCCGGTTTATATTCTGCTATGCTTCTTCAAGATTTAGGTATTCAATACCATATTTTAGAAGCAAACAAAGAAAGAATTGGAGGTAGAATTTATACTTATAAATTCCCAAAACAAGTAGCTAACGGAGAACCATATCCATACGTTGACTTAGGTGCTATGCGTTTCCCAAAGATTTCAATTATGGATCGTCTCTTATCAGATCAACCATGGTCACTTTTCTCAAAATTAGAAAAAGCAGGCCACAAAGTTCCAACTGTTCCATACCATCTTTCAAATGATAATAATATCAGATATTACAATGGTAAACGTATCTACGCAAGCGATACACTCACTGGTGACCCATTATACTTTAGCGATACTAAAAACGGTGGTCAAGGTACAGCAGTTCCAGATCAATACTGTATGGTTCCATATACAGATATTCTTTACAAAGAGTATGATAAGTTTGCTGATGAAATGTCTGAAGATTTCAATGCAGGCTTTAACAAATTATTAGATGCTGATAACAATTCAACAAGAGCTTATTTACATAAACGTCTTTTCCCACAAACTGCTGTAATAATTAAATTTTATACTTTTATTTTTAAAATGGAATAATATTAATTTTAAACTTTTAATACAACAGATCAATTTCTTTGAAACTATGGAAACCGGTACCGGTCTTTATGATATGGCTTTCAGCGAAACAATCATGGATTACTTTGATTTCAGTGGTTCAGAATGGTTAGCTATCGAGGGTGGTTCAGAAGTTATGGTTCAAAATATACTTAAAACTTTAAAACCAGATACCATTGAACAAGGTACAATCGTTTCAAAGATTTCACAAAAAGTTGTTGATGAAAAGGTAAAGGGTCTTGACGTCCATATCATCGGTCAAGATACTCCACGTACTTATGACCATGTTATCAGTACTGGTACATTAGCTTCATTACGTACCATGGACTTAAATGGTTTAAGTTTATCACACAACAAGAGATTAGCTATCCGTACCCTTAACTATGACCATTCAGTCAAGATTACTCTTGCCTTCAATAAGCGTTGGTGGGAAGATTCAACTTTCATGAAAGGTAAACCAATCTTTGGTGGTACAACATCAACAGATCTTCCAGTTCGTAATATTGTTTATCCATCCTATGGTAATCATGTTGAAGGTGCCTCTGGTATTTTAATTGTCAGTTACACTTGGGCTCAAGATGCTTCAAGAATCGGTAGTTTAGTAGGTGATGATGGTGGTGAAAAACTTTTAATTCAAATTTGTATGAAGAATCTCGCAGAAGTTCACGATATTGAAGTCTCAGTATTAAATGAAATGCTTGTCGACTTTAAATGTTGGGATTGGTATAACGATAACTATTCAATGGGTGCATTTGCATTATACTCACCAGCTCAATTCACCCAACTTTTCCCATCAGTAACTAAACCAACTCCAGATGGTAGATTCCATTTAGCTGGTGAAGCTACCTCGGTACATCATGCTTGGGTTATCGGTAGTTTAAATTCAGCTTATCGTGCCGTTGATCACGTTTTAATGGTTGAAGGTCTTGACGATTTACGTCTTAAATTAAGAGAAAACTGGGGTTTCATTGATGAATGTGAAGATCCATATTACTCATTAAGAGATAGTAGTGCAGGTTGTTTTGTTGATCCAAATCACATAAAAGAAACTACAAAGAAACTCAAAGTTGCTCATGTTGATAATGCTACTCCTAAATTAATCTATAATGCTCTCCTTAAAAAACCAACACACAAAACTACTGCTGCAGTTATTGGAGGTTTAAGTAGATAAATCCATTTGTATTACCACTCAAAGTAAATTATTTTAAAAAAAATAAAAAAAATAAACTTAGAAAATAAAAAATCGATAATTATCGAAATCAATATTATATTTCATAGGTTAATTTTTAATGGCGCACAACAAATTTTTGTGATATACTTTTGTTTTCTTTTTTTTTTTTTTCCCAGCACATTTTCATACAGTTAAAAAAATTATCATTAATTATTATTTTAATTAATGGTTTTATTTGATTGGCAGTTCATATTGATTTTTTTTTTAAAAAAAAAAAATTTGGTGGTTTTTTGAATAACTGATAAAAAAATTAAAAAATTTAAAAAAAAGTTAAGATATTTTATATTTGTTTTACAACAAGTTTGTTTTAGGAAAATCTCAATGATCTAAGCGTTAAATTTAATTTTTTTTTGTTAATTTGATTTTTTTTTTTTGTAAATTTATATTTTATAACCATAAAAAAAAAAAATATTTTTTTCAAAAAAGAAAAGATTTTAATCATCAAATCATAATGGGTTGTTTTGGGGGGTGTTATCTCATAAAAAGCAATACACCCACCACAACACCAAAAAAAAAATTGAAAATCATAAATATTAATTCAATTTTATTTACTTTTTTTTTTTTTTTTTTTTTTTTCTTTCCCATTCCTTTATTATTTATTTAAAATTTTTTTTTTTTTTTTTTCATTATTATTTTTAAATAATTTATATATTATAATAGTATATAGATATTTGTAAGTATTGTGATGTTTTAATAAAAGAAGAAATATACAAATAATAAATTTTTTTTTTTTATTTATATTTTTTTTTATTTTTATATTTTATATTTTTTTAATTTATTTCTAATAACTAATAAATTTTCTTTTATAAAATAATCTGTAGTATTAAATAAAATGTCAAATTTTGATAAATCTTATGATGTTGTAGTTGTTGGTGGTGGACCAATTGGTCTTTCTGCCGCTTATCATTGTGCTAAAGCAGGAAAAAAAGTTTTAGTACTTGAAAAATCAATTTTTTTTAACAGTAGTGGTTCAAGTGGTGACTTTGTAAGAATGTTACGTACAATGTATACCGAAGATTTTATGGCCGATTTAGCTAAAGAGACTCTTGGTCTTTGGGAAGAACTTCAACAAGACTCTGGTGAAGGAATGTTGGTTTGGATGTCTGGTCTCTTAAATTTTGGTGATCCAAATTATGGTGCTGGTGGTCCAGAAGGTAGTTGTTATTTAGATGATATATTTAATTTATATGATTTATAAAAGTATATTAATTTTTTATTTTTTATTTAAAGGTACATTAATGGACCCAATTAAAAATCTTGATAGATTAGGAATGCCATATACACTTTTAACCAGTAAGCAAATTATGGAACAATATCCATTCAAAAATTTACCAGATTATTTCCAAGGTATTCATGCTCCAGATAATGGTGTTATCAATGTTCCATTACTCTTACGTACTCTCTATAGATTATCTGCTGCTTATGGTGCTCGTTTAGTTCAATATGCCGATGTTAAAAAAATAACCAACAATGCCACCAAAGGTGGTGTTGATGTTGAGTTTGTTCTTTCAAATTCAGAAGGTGAAGTTCTTGAAACAGTTACTGTTCACAGTGCAAAAGCTGCTATTACTACCAATGCTTTTTCAAATCAAGTTTTACAACCATCATTTGGTTTTAAATTAGATTTAAATATTTGGGAAATGGTATACAACTATTTTAACTGCAATCCAGGCCCAGATGGATGTGTCTTCAAATCAATGTGGTTCCAATTTCTTGGTGATACAGATAATGATCCAACAAAGAATAATTTATTCTATGGTTTCCCAGCTACTCCATGGAGTGTTCCAAATGCTCAACGTATTGCTGTAGATTATGCTCTCCGTCAAATTAGTGACCCAAATGAAAGAAGAGAAGGTCCAGAACCACACGATATTAAACTTACTCGTGATTTTATCAAGAATTTTGTTGTAGGTGTAGAGTGTGATAATCCATGCTTCACAGGTTATGCTTTACAAACCAATGTTTATGATAACATGTTTGTTTTAGATTTTGTTCCAAATACAAATAGCAATGTAGCAATCTTTTGTGCTGGTTGGGCTATGAAATTCACACCATTAATCGGTAAAATTTTAAAACAATTATTGGTTGATGGTAAAACAGATTATGATATTTCACACTTTGCCATTACTCGTGACAACAGTCGTCTTATTATTAAAGATAACGAAGCTCCAAAAGTTAGACTTCATGCACCACATGGTTCATCTGTTCACTGTGCCCCAATTCCACTCGTTGAAGAAACTCCAGATGCTGCTGGCTTAGCTGCTCCAAGACCATCAATTAGATCAATGTTTGCTAAAACTCTTTTACAAAGAACTGTAACCCACGAACCAGCTAAATTATCACAAGTTATTTCAAATAACAGATCCTTAAGACAAAAGAAATCCCTTAAAACTCTCCCATCAGTTGGTATTATTGGTGCTGGTATGTCTGGTTTATATGCTGCTATGATTCTTCAAGATTTAGGTATCGATTATCATATTTTAGAAGGTAACAAAGACAGATATGGTGGTAGAATTTACACCTACAGATATCCAAAACTTGAAAAACAACCATACCCATATGTTGACTTGGGTGCTATGCGTTTCCCAAAACTTGAAATAATGGATCGTCTCTTATCAGATCAACCATGGTCACTTTTCTCAAAATTAGAAAAAGCAGGTCACAAAATCCCAACTGTTCCATACCATCTTTCAAATGACAATAATATCATTTACTACAATGGTAAACGTATCTACCGTAAAGATTCTCTCAAAAATGATCCATTATACTTTAGTGATACTCATAATGGTGGTCAAGGTACAGCAGTTCCAGATAAATATTGCAATGTTCCATACACTGAAATCCTTTACAAAGAGTATGATAAGTTTGCTGATGATATGGCCAATGACTTTGATGGAGGTTTCAAAAAGTTATTAGAAGCTGATAACAATTCAACAAGAGCTTATTTATACAGCAAGGGTTATGAACAACCAGCTGTAAGTAGATGTTTTTATAATTAATTAAAGTTATAATATATTAACATATTTTTATTTTTTTACAGATTAATTACTTTGAAACTATGGAAACAGGTAGTGGTCTCTATGATATGGCTTTCAGCGAAACAATCATGGATTACTTTGATTTCAGTGGTTCAGAATGGTTAGCTATCGAGGGTGGTTCAGATGTTATGGTTAACTCAATGATAAAAACATTAAAATCAGCCAATATCGAAAAAGGTAAATTTGTTACTAAAGTTACTAAACATGGAGATGGTGTAACAACTGGTTTAGATGTTTACGTCAAGGGTGAAACCAAACCACGTACTTATGGCCATGTTATCAGTACTGGTACATTAGCATCATTACGTAAGATGGATTTAGATGATTTAAATCTTTCACACAACAAGAGATTAGCTATCCGTACTCTCCATCACGATCATTCAGTCAAGATTACTCTTGCCTTCAATAAGCGTTGGTGGGAAGATTCAACTTTCATGAAAGGTAAACCAATCTTTGGTGGTACAACATCAACAGATCTTCCAGTTCGTAATATTGTTTATCCATCATATGGTACTGGTGTTAAAGATGCTGCAGGTGTTTTAATTGTCAGTTACACTTGGGCTCAAGATGCTTCAAGAATCGGTAGTTTAGTAGGTGATGAAGTAGGTGAAAAAGAATTAATCGAACTTTGTATGAATAATTTAGCTCAAGTTCATGACATTCAAGTATCAGTATTAAACAAAATGCTTGTCGACTTTAAATGTTGGGATTGGTATAACGATGACTTTGCTATGGGTGCATTTGCATTATACTCACCAGCTCAATTTAGTCAACTTTTCCCATCATTAACCAAACCAACTCCAGATGGTAGATTCCATTTAGCTGGTGAAGGTACATCAGTACATCATGGATGGGTTATTGGAAGTCTTAACTCTGCTTATCGTGCCGTTGATCACGTTTTAATGGTTGAAGGTCTTGACGATTTACGTAAGAAATTAAGAGAAAATTGGGGAACCATTGATGAAGTCGAAGATCCATACTTTGAATACAGCGATAGTAGTTATGTTGACCCACATCATAACCTTAGTGGTCCAAATGTTAAGAAATTCAGATCCAATATTTCTAAAGTTGCAGTTGCTCCAAGATTAATTGCTGCTTGTCTCTCAAAAAGACATAAAATCCCAACTACTGCAGCTGCTATAGGTGGTTTAGGCAGATAAATCGATAGATAATATCTAATTGTTTATTTTTTTTTTAAAAAAATTTATAAAAATTAATTAAATGTAATAAAACAAAAAAAAAATCTCAATAAATCTAGATGAACGCATCAAATATAAAAATAAACAATTTTTAAATATAGTCATATATTAAATCTTTATATTATCAATTTTTTTAACTCATCTTTTTTAGATGATATATTTGTTTAAAAATAAAAATGATTAGTAGTTATGTAGTTATAAAAAACAAATTATAAAAATAAAAATTTATAAATATTTGTTTCTAAGCGAATTGTTTAATTATAACCAAATGTTTTTTTTGATAATTATTGTCAAAAATATTACTTTTATAAAAAAACAAGGAATTTAATTGTTTACACATCACTTCAAAATAAAATTACAAAAAAACAAAACCTTACAATAAAGATAATTGAAAATACAATTTTTTTTGTGTTTGTATGTGTGTGTGTGTGTAGTGTGTTGTGTGCGTGTATGTGTGTATCTTAATTTTTATTTCTTTTATTATAATGTTTATAAATACACCAAAAAATTATATCAATTGTTTTTTAAAATGTGGGTGTGTATGTGTAGTTATATATTTGAAGTGTTAAAGGGTGGGTGATGGGTGGGTTCTATTTTTTTTTTTTTTTGTACATTAAATGTTTAAAAGAAAAAGATAAATATTTATGTTAAATGCTTAATAAAATTCAAAAAAATAAATGATAGATATAAATTTTTTTTATAAAAAAATAAAATTGGATATGGGAATTAAAATTTGATCAAAAAGAAAGGACAAAAGTTAGACTTTGATTTTAATTTTTATTTTTATTTTATATTTGTTTTTTTTTCTTCTCATTAATTTGTTTTTTTATAATCAGTTTTTAGATTTCATTGTTAAATCAATTATGGATTTTCCTTTATCAATTTAAAAAATAAAAAATAAAAAATAAAAAAAAAAAAAAAAAAAAAAAAAATGGGGGGGATGAATGATTTATTTGTTTTTAATTTAATAAATTTTGTTTCTTTCTCTTTGTGTGAGTGTATGTGTGTGTGTGTTATTAATAAATATTTTTTTTTTTTTTTTTTTTTATTTAATTTTTTTTTTTTAATTTCTTTATGTGTATTTTTTTTTTTTAATAATTGTTTTCTTTTAATAATATTAGAGAAACTTATTTTTTATATTATAATTAATAGTAATAATAATAACAAAAATAATAATAATAATAATATACAATAATAATTTATAATAGTTTTTGTTTACCTTTTTTATTTGTCAATAATTTTAATACTTTATAATAAAAAAATTTAAAATTTAAAGTTTTAATAAATAAAATTTTTATCATAATATTTTTATTTTTTACTTTTTTTTATTTTATTATTTATTTTTATATTTTTTATAAATATATTTAAAAATAAATTGTTTCTTTGTTTTTTTCTTTATTTTTTTAAATAAAATAAAATGGAAAGTATTACAATTATAGATCAAAAAAATAACGAAATCCAGTATAAAATAATTGATCTAGATAAAAATTCAAATAATCAAAAAAATTATAACAATGTAAATTGTATTGAAAGTAGTATCAACATTAATAATAATAACTCAAATTATAATGTGTTGTGGAAATGTGGTTTTATAAAAAATGATAATTATGAAAAAAGGAAAAATTTTAAAATACTAAAAAAAAAAATAAAAGAAGAAAATTTAAAAAAAGAAAAAGAATTAAAGGAAATAAATGAAGGCAATCTGATTAATGAACATGGATTATTATGTCCAACAACCTGCACAACAACTACCACAACATCAACTACAACTTCAGTTATTTGTAATCCAATAGAAGAAAGACCTAGTTCGTGGAATGATGCATGGCATAATGGAAATGTTTTATTTAAAAAACCAATGATTGATACAAAATATAGAATATCTTCTCAAAAAAGAACAATTTCTTTAAATGTAATTGATACCGCTTTCTTTCAATATGGTAGTAATTCCAATAATAATAGTGTATGTAATAGTACATGTACAAGCACCAATAATACTAGTAGAAGCACAAATTTAAATTCAAGTAGAAATGTACATCTCAGTTTATTTACCAGTTTCAATAATGTTTATAATAGTTGCCCATCAAACATAAACCCAAACAGTTCACATGCATTAGATAATAGAATATGTTTGAAAATGATTTCTCCTAAAGAGTACATTATCTATGGTGTATATATTGATGAACAAAAACAAAAAATATTAAACAATGGTCAATGTTCCGATAATCAATCAATAAATTCCAGTGGAGATGGAGCGGATGAAAAAAAAGAAAGCTGGGACCCAGAAATTCCAAATACTGTTACAACAATTCTAATGGACAAAGACTTCAATATGATATTAAAACCTGGTTTCATACCAAATAGTGTTAAATATATAAAATTTGGTGATGCTTACGATAGATGTTTGGAACCGGGTTCCATTCCAGAAGGTGTTGAAAAGATTGTATTTGGTTCAAATTTTAATCAATTTTTAAAACCAGGTATACTTCCATCAACATTAAAAATACTTGATATGGGTCAAACTTTAGTTAATGGTTATTCTGCACCGATTATTGCCGGTGGGATCCCATCTACAGTCGAAGAGCTCTATTTTTCAAATTCATTTAACCAACCATTAAAACCAGGAGTAATCCCAAATAAAGTTATTACATTAAAGTTTGGAAGAAACTTTAACCAACCTCTACCAGAAAACTCAATTCCTTCATCAGTGAAAACTCTTTATTTAGGTAGCAGCTACGACTATCCTTTAGAATTTGGTACAATTCCAAGATCTGTACGTGAACTAGTACTATCGGATTCTTTTAATCAAGAGCTATCACCGGGTGATATACCTTTAACAGTCGAGTTTTTGTCATTTGGGGATCACTTTAACCAACCTCTTTTACCGGGATGTATTCCAGAATCAGTTGTTTTTCTTAGATTTGGAAAGAATTTCAATCGACCACTTACACATGGATCAATACCTTTAACATGCGATACTTTAATCCTCAGCGAACAGTATAACCACCCAATTAAAATAGAATTTATACCTTTTGTAAAAAACTTGGAACCTATAAGTATTAGAAAGCTTATTGTTGGAGCAACATACAACAATAATAGTTTAAGTAATAGTAATAATAGTATTTTAAATAGTTCGAATGGAAGTATACCAAACAATAATAGCAACACCAATAGCTCACCTTCCACCAAAGATAGATTATCATTTCCAATATTAGATTACTATAGAATAAAATTAAAAAAATTATAAACCGAAAAATTTTAAAAAAGAAAAATAATAAAAATATTATAAAATTTTTAATTTTAGAGTCATTTATAATATAACTCTATTTATTACTTACCGCTTGATTTTATTTTTATCTTAACAATGATCTAGTTAAATTTTTTTTATTTTTTAATCTTTGTAAAGGAATTAAAGCTATCATTATTCGAATTAATCATTTTTAATTGCTATTAAAAAAATATAAAAAATAAAATTAATATTTTATGATATTATAAAAAAAGAGGTAAAATAAAATTAAAAAAATATAATTTTTATAATTTTATTTATTTAGTGATAATTGATCAAAACTTTGCTTTAATTTTTTATAATCTTGTTCTAATGAATATAATCTATTAAAATCTTTTTTTGATATTTCAAACCATCTATCCAATTTAATTTTTTCTATGGACTGAACTGTAAATTCGTCAACTAATGATGATTCTATATAGTGATTGTCTTTTGTATTTGATATTGTTTTACAAAATTTTGAAATTACTTTTCTACCCATTTGATTGATTTGAAATTTTGAAATTATTTTATCTTTACATTGATTACCCATTTTAATAATTTTTTTTGGATTTGATATTAAATTATTTAATATTTTAATATATTCCTGATGGTATTTATTTTCTTTTATATTGTTATTATTTACACTATTATCTGTTATGTTTTTTTTATCTATTAAAAATCCACAATCTGGTGATACCAATTCATTTTGACCTCCAATATTACTCCCAACAGGAACTAACCCTATTGACATAGATTCATAAAATATCATAGATATACCCTCATTTTCGCTTGGTAAAAATACAATATCTGATGCTGATATAATGGATACCATGTCATTTGGAGGTACATCTCCTAGCATTACAACTACTTCATTTAAACCATACCTATTAATTAATTCTTCTACATTGGGTCTAAGTGGTCCATCTCCAACTACCAGTACTTTAAAATGCAAAGTATCATCACTGTTTTCGAAAGAGTCTTTTAAAAGTTTAACGATTTCTAATACCTCAATTGGATTCTTTTGATTTGTTAACCTTGCAGCAAATAGTATTACAACTTGATCACTTTTAATATCATACAGGCCCCTAATAATTTTTCTTTCTGTTGTGTTTCTTTTAAACTCTTGTGTGTCAACATTTATATAAACCACTGAAATTGATTCTCTTAATTTATCGAGTGTTTCTAAATTTGCTACATCTTGGTTTTCATTGGCGTATTTATTTATCATCCAGTTTTTTAAATGATTTGATGATACTAAACTGTGATCTAAGTAACTAAACAATGATAAAGATAATCTTGAATGACCGCCATTTCTCCAGTTTTCCTCCTCCATATGATTATAATCTAATAGCTGTGAACCTGGGCAATTGCTTTTAATAAATGGCATTAAAACATAACCTAATTCGCTATTTGAAATAAGTGTAATATCAATTGATCTACTATTTATTAAATAACATATGAATTGTGGATAATCGCTGTAATCTAGAAACCTATCATTATATAAAAATATATCTTGGGTATATTGTTGAAATGAAGAGAGCCACGGATTATCAGATTGAAGTGTTGTAGCGATTGAGATCTCCCAATTATTTTCGACTAATTGTTTACACAGATTTAAATTAAATTTATCAGCACCACCAGTATTTAACCACGGTATAATAAGAAGTAGCCTTGGTTTATTATTTTTCAATAGTGTATTAATTCGTGATGACCCATATATATATTGCTTGTTAATTTTATGACTTGTTTCTTGAATGTCTCTAATTGGATTTGGAAAGTAAAGATCTTTGTATATCTTTGGATATTTATTTGTTAATTCTTTAATAAAATTTTTCTTTTCAATTGATTTCTGATTCTTCCAATCTTTTTCTGATTTTCTTTTATCCTTTCTTCTATACCAATCAAAATACTCTGGAATAGTTTCACCCCAATAACCATGCTCTGCACATTTTAAATGGAAGTCCCAATCTTCATTTCCATCCCTAATTGTTGGATCTAATTGAAATTCTAAAAGTTTCTCTGGGTAATCAAACTTGGTTATTGTATTAAAAATGTTATTTGAATTTGAATTTGAGTTTGAATTTGAATTTGAATTTGAATTAGAGTTTGAATTTGAATTTGAGATTGAGTTTAAATTTAAATTTGAATTTGAATTTAATACATCGATTTCTTTTATTACTGTAATATTTAACTTTTTACCAAAAATTGATCTTTTATACATAATTGAAAATGTTGTTGGATTTTCTTTTTTAAATAATAACCTTTCTTCAAAACTTTTATTCCATACATAATTTAGGGCACTAAAACCTATAACATAGCCCTTGGTAAACTCGATATGACTTGATGTTAGAAGCTTCCAATACATTTTCTCTAGAGATGTTGGTTCTAATAAATCGTCGGAGTCAAAAAAGAATATATAATCTGCTCTTGAATGATATACACCTATATTTCTAGATTGTGGTAACCCTTTATTAATTGAATTTATAAACACCTTAAATCGCACTGGTTCCTTATCTAACCATTTTTTATACATTATTATTGACTCTTTTAAATCTGATGCATCATCTATTAGAATTACTTCGATTGATTTTAAAGACTGTTTAATAAGTAATGAATCTAAACACTCGTCTAAATATTGCGGATTAGTATTATAAAATGGAATTATGACTGATACAAGTGGCTTCTCTAAAAACTCTTCTTTATATAAATTTAAATCGGTATCATATATAAAATTATTAATTCTTTTTTTTGATATTGGTGTGCATGAATAATCTGGTAAATTGATATTAAATGTGCACCATTCGCTATTACCGTTATTATTATTATTATTATTATTATTATTATTATTATTATTATTATTATTATTATTATTATTATTTATTTTATTAAAATTATTGCAATATTCTTTAAAAATTGTATTATTATAAAAATTTATATTATTTAGTTTATTATTTTTTAATTTTTTTATTGAATTATTATATTCATTGTTAATAGCATATTTATTACTATTATTTGAAATTTTGATAAAATAAATAAAAATTAAAAATATGATTAAAAAAAAAATTAAAAAAAATAATCTTTTAAACTTATTTTTTAAAATTAAATCTTTTTTTGTTGATTGGTTTTCTAAATTTAGACTATAATAAATTGAATTTATAGCATTATAATTACTATTTAAATCATTATTTATTTTATTATTATAACTATTATTATTATTTCTTTTCATTATTTTGGAATTAATGAATCCCAAAACAAATGGTAATTTAATTTTGGTTTTTTTTTTTGCTCTACTTTTAATTTTTTTATTTTTTTAATTTTTATAAATTAAAAAAAAAAAATATTTTTTTATTTTTTTTTTAAATTTTTTTTTAAAATTTTTTTAAATTAAACTTTTTATTTTTTATTTATTATTTTTTTTTTTTCAAGATTTTGAAAGAGAGATACACAATCATATTACTTCTTTTTTAAAATAAATATTTATTTAAACAAAACACAAATTATATATTGTTCATTTCTATATTTCTAGTAATAGTAAATAGCAAATTTATTTACACACTTTTATCATTTTTTTTTTTTCTAATTAAAATTAAATAAAATAAAATAAAAACCAATTTTAATTAGTTCAGTATATAATTTTTTTGTTTTTATTTACTTGTTATTATAATATACATAAAAATTTTTAATATATATAGTTTTAGTATTTATATATATTTATAGTATAATAATAATTATAAAAAATTATCAATATATTAAAGTTTTAAAATATATAGAATTTTTTTACAAGAATATATTGCTTCTATTTAAAATAGAATGGATCAAGACCTTTTATTAGCTATTGCATTATCAGAAAATTTTATGGTAAGCCCTATTATTATTTAAACAATGTTTTGTTTTTTGAAAAAAATTCAATTTTTTAATTTTTTTTTAAAATTTTATTTTTTTACAAACCCTTTCTCAATCATTTTACTAACTTTTTTATCAAAATTTTAGGAGACCAATCAAAATAATAATAATAATAATAATAATAACAACAACAACAACAACAATAATAGTAATAATAATAATGAAATGAAGGAAAGTGAAGATAAAATTTCAATTTATTTACAGGATTTAATATCACATCTGAAAAAGGATTCAGTTTCAAAAGATTTAAAACCTTTGACTCTTTTACTTGGATCTAAAGAACTCGCACCAAAACAAATTGTTTTCCTTTCTAAAATATTAGAATCAATATCTTTTAATATAATCAGTAGAGAAAAAGATAAACGTATGTATCCTCTTTTTTTTATTTTAAAAATTTTCTCAATTACTAGAATTTTATTTTTTCAAAAAAAAAAAAAAAACCAAACACTGTTTAATATTTATTTATTTTTTTTTTTTCTTTTATTTTTCTTTTTTTCCAATTATAAAAATAAAAATTAATTTTTATTTTGGAAATATCTTTTTTTATTTTTTTTTTAATTTTTAATTTCACATTTTTAATCAATTTTTTTTTTTTTATCACAGCAATCGAAAATAATTACGAATTATTCTGTAAAGAAACTCTTAGTTTTTGTTTAGATGTTTTGGGAAAATGGGGAAATGGTGAAATAGACTTATCAACAGCTAAATGCAGTGATAATAACGAATTAATACCAACAATACCAATAGAAAATAAAAATTTAATACCACTAACATTATTATCAATTATTGATATGTTATGTTGTATTGAATTTCCTTCAACAGAGATTGACAAAGTTTTTGATATTCCACCATTTTTAAATCTCAAAGAGAACCAATTATTTGACTCCAACGGGCAATTAAAAGATAATGCAGAAAATAATAATAATAATAAACTAATAGATACACCTATAATATCAACTGCTTCAGTTTATAATACTGAAAGTAAAGATAAACAACAAGAGATTAATATTTTCAACCAGTTTTTAAATGAAGGTTTATCATCAAACAAAATAAACACCACCACACCAATAAATAAAAATGTTACTTTTGTTGAACCAACTCAATCAAATAAATCGACCTATAATATTAATACAGAAGAAGGCATTGAACAATTTGTTAAAATCAACTCCAATTATTTTAATAATGTGCTCAAAGGTCCATCAAAACTATTATCAATTTGTTCAAAAATTATATTGCCATATCAAGCCAATCTTAGTGTCAGCGAAAAATATGAAAAATTTAAAAAAGATGAATATCTTATTTTAAATTTCATTAACAATGTTCAAGATATTTTATTCTCAGAAGGTTTTGACTCTTTAGATCTTCTCTCAATACCATGGACTATCGATTTTCTTGGTGGGTTAATTGGCACTCTAAGAACTTTTGAGGGATATTCAATTGAAAACCAACAATCTTACAACAATTCAAAATTTTTATCAAAAGAGGTGAGTAATTAAAATAATATCAAAATTATATAGATAAATAAAATAAATATTAATATATTGACTCTCATTGATTTTTATTAGATATTTGATAATATTTTTCAAGTTATTGGTACAAAATTAAATTATCCAGATTTACAAATTAAAGCAGAGATATTCTTTTCTTTATGTATTTTATCTGATGCACAGAGAATGGATATTGATATAGTTAAGCTTTTGGAAAGACCTCAAGATAAACCATTGGATAAAGAGTATATGGTAATTAATCCACAATTAATAATATTAGCAATTCAATTAGTTTTAAAAAACATTAAAGAATTAAATAGTGCTCAAACTTCAACTGATAATCAAGATGTTTCAACTTTAAGTTCATTAGGTTTTACAGTTCAAACTAAAAGTCAATCTCAATCAAATAGAAATTTAATTGAATTATTAAACAATAATAACAAAAATAATAATATCATTGATGACCAACAACCAACAACCAAGTTTTTATTAGCAGACTCAATAAAATTAAATAATGAAAGCCTATTACAATATTTTGACTTTTTCTCAAATCAACATTTTTCATTACAAGATCTTTTGAAAATATTTATTAAACCTCAGTTACTCGATACAATATTTAATGTACTTTATTTAAGCTTTTACAAAAAACCTTTAACTGAAACAACCATCGCAACCAGTATACCAATGGACATAAGTGCATCATCTGCATCACCTGTACACAATTTATCAACATCAAACAAATCTATCCCAATTCCAATTAATGTAAATAGTAGTAGTAGTAGTAGTATTAAGAAGTCACCCATCAAAAGTCAAGATTCATATTCTTCTGGTGGCGAAGAGGATCTTTTTGGAGGATTATTCCATGAACTAAGTGGTACTCCATTAAAAGGCTCTACTGGTGGAATTAAAGGCATATCATCGCCCTCTCCTTCATCATTTAGATCATCAACTGGTGTTGGTATCAATACACCCAAGCCTAAAGAATCAAATACCGATATAATGGGTGGAAAAATTTACACATTTTTATTATTTATTAATGATTTCATATCCGATGTACAATATCAAGATTTTATAAAGAAAAGTTTATCATTAAATCATCTCAGAGTATTATTTTCATTACTCTCTCCTCCAAATAATCCATCAGTGATTAACGATAAATCAAAGAATCATTTAATTTTCAACTTTTTATCAAATATTTGTTTTCTTTTGTGTAAAAATTCAATTATAACCGAGCAATTAATGGATCAATTTGTCAACTTTATTTTTAATACTTACAGTAATGAAATATTTATACTTCCAAAAGAACAGTTAACTTGGTTATCTTGGATGTTTGTAAAGAAACAATCAGGTTTATCCCTAAAAAATAGCGGTATTAATAATCCAATTGTAATCAAACTCTGGGACAACTTTTTAAAATCATCTCATGAACTTTGTAAAACTAGTAAACTCGTTGGCTTTGGATTTAAAGAGATAGTCTCACTTGACTATATATTCCTATTAATGTTTTCATTCCATACCCTTGATGAAAAACATCGTTTAGATATTATTTGTAGTTTCTATCACTTGTTCGACAATGTTGTGAAGGAATATAATTCAAACAAATTTATTTCAAACTCTTTGGTACTCTCAAGATGTCTAATGATTTTCAACTATGTACTTTTCCATTTCGAGTCAGTTAGTCCAACTCTTTCAAAGATTTTCAATAATCAAGTTTTATCATTCAATAAAAAATCATCATCTTCAACTTTGACTTCTTTACCCACAAGCGTTTCCACCTCAAATGATTTTTTTAGACTTTCAATTGTAAATCTTAATTATTCAAACACAATCAGTCAATTAATTAAAAAATCAGCTTTTGTCAGTAATTATCAAATTCCTGAATTTTATGATTTATATTTTACATGCGCCAACAATTCAAGTTCAACCCCATCAGTTTTAAATAAATCAACAAATAACATATTGTCGCCATCATCCAATAATTTAACACCAATTAACCCATCTAACGCCCCAGCAGCAACAAATACTATTGAGGAAAATTGGTTTAACAATCAAAATAATAATAATAATAACTTTGAAAAAATTTCGTCTCTTTTACAAAAAGCAATTTCATCAAATGGTACTACTACTTCCAGTTCTGCATACGAATCATTTTATGATAATATCTTATCATTATGCTCATTGGTACCAACCGAACCTACTACCCAAGATGGTGTATCTTTAGATTCTCTTTATTTTGACTATATTATTGCCAGTTCATTAAAATTCCTCAGCTTATTGCCATTATCCAAATCTTTCTTAAAAACTATTAAAGACCCAAAAACTTTTGTCACTGTAAATAATGTATCACCAATTTATATCACCTTTTTAAAATCAATTTATTCCCCTCAATCATTAAACCAAGAAATTCCTTGGTTGTCTCATATTGAAAATATTTTAGTTCATTTTAAATATAATGGTGGAGAAAATAACTCTGCTTCTCCATTAAGAATTAATAGTATTGTTCAAAGTTCTTTAGCTCTACTCAATAAAGTTTTCGACTCTGGAATAAATAATAATATTGGTAAAAAATTAGAAAGTGCAAATGATACAGGTGATAGTTATTTTGATGGTTGGGAATCATTATTTAACGATGATGATGATGACGAAGAAGCTAATGATGATGATGAAGATTCAGAAGATGACCAAGATTCAGAAGATGATCAAGATTCAGATTCTCAAGGTGAATCCAGCGACGAAAATAAACAACAAAAATTATCAAAGAATAAAGTTGAAGTAACAGCAACTACCCCAAAAGATGAAACCCAAGCCAACACTTCTGCAAAAGATGAATCAAAAACAAAAGAATCTGCAATCCGTTCAAATATTTCAACATTATTGCCAAAACTTTTAGTTTTTATAATTGATACCTTGGACCATTATAAAACTATTTATAAAGAATCATTAATTAAACAACTTGTCCACTCAAATCCAGTACATATCAAACTAATTGAGGAATTATATATACTTTCATCAAATAAAACCGAAATTTTAGATCTTATGAAATCATTGGGATTCCCAGAAGAGGATCGAGCATCAGTAGAACAATGGGACGAAGAATTTAAACCAGATTCATTATTTATATCAAAAGATCAAAAACAATTATTTGGTTGGTCTCTTCAACCATTTAATGCATCACCATCAGGAAAAGTATACAGCGACTCACTTCAATCAATTATCAAATTATTATTATCCCTTTCAAACCAAGCACTTATTCATTGGGATAACCTCGAACCTGAACTAACCAAACCAATTTCATCAAAGGTTAGCGAATTACTTTTTGAACAAGTCTATATTTCAACTGATAGATCTTTTTCATTCCTCAAAGATTACTACGACAACTATTCAAGCTTAATTAGCGGTGCTCAATCTGGTTACCTTATTAATCAAATCAAATTAACCAACTTTGAAAATATTTCAAAGGTATTGGTAACACCTGGAATTTCAAGCACTCTCTTGTCAGAAAACAACCTTCTCCAAAGTATTTTAATTGGCTATGTTGACTCCTTAATCTCAATGTCAAAATTAAATGGTTCACATATATATTGCCATTATATTTCTGGATTTAATGGTTCAGTTGCTCGTGGTACTCGTGACTTTGAATTTATCTTACCAGTAGGTGATCTTAAAATTATTATTCAAACATTATTCAATAACTCTTGCGAGAAATTTAATCTCAAAGTTTTATCAGCTCTTGTTCAGTTTATGTCAATTTCAACACCTCCAGAATTCTTTACCTCATTTAGATCTTATGTTATCAACATCTTTAACTCAATTTCAATTGATTCATTAAAGGATTGGTTTGAACAAAAATTATTAGGAACTATTATTAAGCCAAAAGAAATCGAAATGGAAATTGATAGTGTTGATGAAAATATCACAGGTACTAGTAAAGTTAACTCGACAATTAATATCCAAGAACAAATATTCAGATTGGTTGGTTTATTAATTGGAAATAAAGATCTTTCAAGCTATTCTAAAGATTATTTAGCTCAACAAGCAGCTGCTGCTGCTGCTCTTGCTTCACAGAATAAAGAAAAAGAAGAACAAGAAGAAAATTTTGATTTAAAGAAAAAGAAGAAAAATAGTGGTAGCTCAACTCCAATTAAAACTGCAACTAAAAAATCAACATCAACACCATCATCCCAACTTGATAGTAAAACTTCTTCACCAGCATTAACTGCTTCATCCAATCCACCATCATTAGACTCAATCGATTGGGACGAAAAAGTATCATCATTTTCTTTAACTCTTTTCGATATCTTATTAAGTATTGTAGATAGAGCATTCACCGTTTGGATTGACCAACCAAAACTCATTAAAGGATATTTTGAACTATTACAATATATTGCTATGGATCAACATCAACTTTTAAAACTTTTTACCCAAGTCTCAAATCTTTCATCTCCAATACTTGAGGATCCAACAACTGATCAATTGGAATCTTTAAATCTTTTAATTGATTTTGTTCAAAACATATTAGATTTAGCAAGATCAATAAAGTATACCCAAAATAATAACAATAATCAAAACAATAATTCAGATACTGAAATGCATCAACATCATTGTTCACATCATCACCGTCAAAACCAATCAAAAGATGAAGCAATGTCAACTGAAGAAGATATACTTAAAGATGACAGTGTTGATATTTTAGACGATGACGATGATGATGACCAAGATTTCTCTGAAGATGAAAAGAATTCAAACAATGAAAGTACTGGTAACGAAGAAGATGATGAAGAAAGAAGATTGGCCTCAAAGGTTTGTACCTTTACATTTACAAAGAGTGATTATATTGATCAACATTGGTATTTCTGTTATACTTGTGGTTTGAAATTCTCTGAAGGTTGTTGCTCAGTATGTGTCAAAGTTTGTCACAAAGGTCATCAAGTCAGCTATAGTAGATATAGCAGATTCTTTTGTGATTGTGGTGCTGGTTCAGGTAAAGGTTCTTGCAAAGCATTAAAACCAAGACTTTATCAACCATCAAAACCATCAACCCAACAACCAATTTTATCACCATTAAAACCAAGCGAGGATATTCAGACATTGACCTCACAACAAACATCACAACCTTCAATCCCAGATAATTTATCTTCATCGTCCTCATCCTCTTCATCTAGCAACACTGGATTACCAATTAATCCATCTTCAATTAATAGCTATTTCTTTAATTTACCCACTCAACAAGATAAAGAATTATTATTTAATGAAATCTTTAACAATGATAAATCAACCATTATCTCCAAATTATCTGATCTTTATCCAAAATTAATTGAAATGTATAAGAAAGCTCAAAATGACCTTAGACCAAAATCTGAGACCGTTAACAGACTTGAAATGTTTGATGAATCACCCACCAAAGAAGTTGTAAGCAAATCCGATATTTTTACCAATAAAAAAACATCAAAATATGGCACATTCGATTCAAAACTCAAACTCGAAGGATCAGAAGGTAATCAGTTAAAAGCTCTAGTTAATAGTGGTCCAATACAAAGAAAAGCTATTGCTTCAAATTCAAAAGGTTTAATTGCTATTGCTGAAGGTGATAGTGTTTCACTCTATAGTTCTCAAAAGATTTTAGATGACGAATCAACATTAGACAAACATTCATTTAAAGCTTTATCAAAGAGTGCTGTTGGATATCCAATTGTCAGTTTAGTTTTTAATCCAGCCAATGACAAATTTTTAGCAGTTGTCGGTTTCAAGGAATGCAAGATTCTTACAATCAACCAAAAAGATGAAATCGTTGATCAACTTTCCATTGACCTTTCATTAGATGCTTTAGGTGAAACTATTTTCATTATTAAAGTTGAATGGATTATTGGTAGTCAAGTTGAATTGGCTGTTGTAACAAATGAGTTTATCAAAATATATGATTTATCAAAAGACAATCTTTCACCAATCCACTTCTACTCACTCTTAGAAGATTCTATTAGAGACATGTGTTTAGTACAAAAGAACAACAATAACTTTATTTTAGCTCTTAGCAACTATGGTTTATTGTACTGCCAACCAATTGAAGAAACCAACGATAATGAATCATGTATCATGATTGAGACTCTTCAAGTACCTATTAGTAAAACTTCAGCAGGTGTCAGCTTATCATATAATATTGAACTCGATACTATTATTGCAAGCTATAATAATGGTGAATGCTATGCCTTCCAAACTAATGACCAAATGACAACTATAACTCGTTCTTTCCCAATTCAAGATCCAGGTAAAAAACTTCCTATGCCAGCTCAATACTTTTTACCTCTTTCACCAAATTTCCCAAATATATATGCCTGTTTAGCTTCTCGTGGTGGATTCCTTTTAGGCTTCAAGGTTACAACAAAAGATATTTTAATTCAAAACTTAAAATTAACTCCTAAAGTTGAAGGTATGACTTTATTAAATCGTTCCTCACCAAAGCTTTTGGTTTTATTTGATGATGGTAGTATTTCAAGATACGATTTCTCTGTAGAAAGCAATTTATCAACAAACCAACCATTACAAGTCGAATCAACTTCAAATAACAGTGCTTCAGCTTTAGAAGAAAAGAAAGGTTTAGATTTATTATTATATTTGAAATCAAAATATTTGGAAGCTAATGAATCATTGTTAAAAAATTCTTCATCAACAAATTCTGCCACTGTAACCGCTGCTAGTACTTCTTTAACCACTGCCACAACTAGTTTACCCTCAAGTACTATAGTACCAAATCCAGTTTTCCCTATCGATTTCTTTGAAAGTACTGAATGTATAACACCAAATGTTAAATATGGAGGTGATCCACTCCAGTGGTATTCTCAAGATGTTATTAAACAAAAACTAGCCTCTAATGATGAATATATTGTTTGTCAAAGCCTCGACACTCTCACATTGGTAATTATGAACAATAATTATAATAATGCAATTTGTGGTATAAGAGTATTGGTTGGTAATGCATCAACCAAGCATATTCCAACTGAAATCAAAATATTCAATCGTTCGATTTCAATTAAAGAAGGTCAAAGAAGATGGTATGATATTCCTTTCACAAATGAAGAAGCATTGAAATCAATAAAAAAGGTTTCTTTAACTGCCTCCTCAACCTATACTTTGATCAACTCACCAATTATCGACCAAATTGAAGTATATGCCAAGAATAAAGAATCATTTGGTTTCAATGACTCTGATGATGACGAAGCTGAAGATTTGGTAGATAATGAAAATACCACTGGTTCATCATCCAATAGTTTAGCTCAAGAGTATTCACCAATTGAAACTTCAATCTTACATTGTTTCAATTCATTAAAAATTTATTTCTCAAATCATACCAATAATGACATTGATCAATATGCCTCACTCAAAGAAAAAACACTATCAACATTACCAATTTTAATAACAGATTCTCAATTAACCTTTGTTAGATCATCAATCAAAAAGATCTTAAAGATCCTCTCACCAGATCATGATTCTTACCAAACTCTTAAATATTGTATTCAATTAAAATATGCATCAGAAACTATTAAAAGTCTTTTACCAACAGTTCAATCCCAAGGTGGCTTTATCTCTTCAAGTGATGTTGAAAAACTAGACTACTTAGTTAGCTCATTAAAGAAAATCTCTTCAAATAATCCAAAAAGTTCACAAACCTACCTCTTTAGTGAAAACCCAATGTTTATTAATGAAATTTTATCTATTTATCGTCTTGTAACTTCGTTAGCTAATAATAAATCGAACAATAATAGTAGTGCTCCTCCAACCAAATCACCCCAACAAAGCTATTCATCCTCAACATTCTATTCAGAGCATTTTATTTCAAATTTAGTTGAATTACTTTGGAATTGTCTTCAAGAAAAGATCTTTGATCCAGTTTATATTTTTACTCAATTAAAACTTTTAATTTCAAACTCAAATGAAATCATTAGAACCAGAAGTTCATTGAAATTATCGTCACTAATTAGTACAAGAAAATCATATAAACTTATTAGCAGTGGCACTGTTACAAATAATATTATTCCAGATCATTCAATTAACCAATCATCTCAACAAGCAACAACAACAACAACTGCCTCTAGTACAATCGGAACCTCTGATGGAGACGTTCAAATGGTTGATGAAATTCTCTTCTCTTGTGATATTTGTGGCATCAGTCCAATAATTGAAAAGAGATGGAATTGTCAACAATGTGGTGATTATGACCTTTGTAATAATTGTTACCAAAATCCAAACAAAGATCATCCAAAAGATCATCAATTTATAGAATGTATTATTGATGAACCAATGAAAGAATCTCTTGAACATAAGCCAACACAACAACCAAATACAGTTGAAGAAAAAGAAATAATGGCCGATCAATTTGAATCTGATGATGAGGATTATAAATTAGCTATTGCAATGAGTTTAGGTACCGATTTACCTACATCAACAGTAGCTGCTCCACTTTCTCCACAAGAAAAGTTACCACCAGTTATTCAAAATACCATTATTCCAGAAGAAGAGCCAATTATTCAAATCCTTAAGCTTGTTCTTAATGAAATCTCAAGTACCTATGATAAAGGTTTCAACTATATGCTCCCATATCTTCAAATTCTCCACTCAACTGTTTTACACAATGGGACATTAATCATTAACAATAACGAAGCCTCAAATCTTCTTGCAAGCAATATTATGAACTTTATTGAAAAACGTAATAACTCACTTACAAATAAATACTTGTCACACAAAACTGGTTGTCTTGAAAGTGATCTTTTAATATTCTCATTAATAAGTTTATTATTAGATTCTGATGCACAAAAGGCACAAAAAACTCATCTTAAACAACAACAACAACAACAACAACAACAATCATCTCAACAATTATCATCATCACAACAATCAACCTCACAATTACAATCGTCATCACAACAATCAACTCCACAAACACAACAACCAAATCATAGTTTATCATCATCACTTATCTGTCAATTATCTAAAGTATTTATTGATAAGAATATTATTAGTATATTGTTACAATGGATAAAAAAACTATTTGAATGTATTTCAAGCTCATCATATCATTCATCAGGTGAAGAAAAAGACTCACCATTTGGTGCATTATTAGTTCCTTCAATCGATGAAAACCATACTCTTCCAAAGAATAGATACAATCCATTTTTTGGTAAGCATCTTCCACAAACAGCTTTTGCTATTCAAACATTAATTTCAAAGTCAATCTTCAAAATAATGATAACTTTTTACCGTTGTGATAGAAGAAATAGATCAATTCATCCAAATGCCACTCCTCTAATCAAAACTAGTGAATGGTCCGATATTGTATGTTCATTTATTCACTCCAAAAAGACAAATCCAATTTCCAAATATCCAAAGAAACTTTTATATTTCCTTTACCAAACCAAATCATCTTATTATTCAATTCGTGATGAATATCTCTTAAAAAAGAAATTTGGTAATATTAAAGAATTGGAAGAAAGTACTAAAGACTTCTCTGGTGAAATTGACTATGACCGTTCAGCCAAATTAATTTCATATCTTACCCAAATGCTAGAAGTCGCAAGTGATAGACCAAAAAGCTGGCAATTCTTTTGCTCACATAATGATGTGTTAAATAATCTTTATAAGATCCTTTTCAATCTTTCTGAAGAACCATCATTATTACTTTTAGAATTACTAACATATGTATTTGTTGATGAAGAACAACCACAACAGGAACAATCTCAAGATATTTTAATGGAAGATTTTGATAATAGTAAATCAAAACATATCCCTATTTTCATAGAGGAAAATTCCTTTAATACTTTAATCTACAATATTTTATTAGAATCCAACTCTTCAGATTTAAGAAACGTAGCTTCAAATTTAATTTATCATATTTGGAAAGTAAGTAAAATTTTTTATGCATATTAAATTATTATCAAAAATCTATACTAAAATTTTTTCATAATTTTTAGTTCTCAACACTCGAACAAAGAGTTTTCATTAATAAATCATTATGGTCCAAATTTAATAATACCCCATCATATGGCAAAAACGCAAATGAGTATATGGAATTATTAACCTACTTTATTAACGAAACTGACCCAGAATCATGGAAAGATCAATTTGATGGTAATTATTTAATATTCTAAAAAAATTAAAAAAAAAAATAACAACAACATTAATATTTATTTTAATTATTATTTATAGAATTTACTACCAAATTAATTGAAAGCTTCAAATTACAAAACCAAGTTTCCATAAATCATCCAAATGCACAAATCTATAATAGTTTAGGTAAAATTTTAGAATTTGATGGTTATTATCTTGAATCCGATCCATGTTTAGTGTGTAACAATCCCGAAGTTCAATATCAAACTCTTCGTTTAGATTTATTGAAACAAGAGGTTAAATACAGCGAATCATCACAATTGATTAAATTTAATGGTGTTTATAATATTTCAAAGATAGGAATTCAACTTCACGACCTCAAGAAAGGCAAAATGATTAAAACCATTAATCTCTTTTATAATAACAAACCAGTATCTGATATTGGAGATCTTAAAGGTAAATTTAATCAATGGAAGAAATTAAAACAAGTTCACTTTGCACCATCTCAAACCGAAAAAACCATCTCATTCCAAATTCCAATCTCTGCTAGAAACTTTATGATCGAATACTTTGATTTCCACGACAATCTTCAAGTTGCTGCATCCGAGAAGCTCCAATGTCCAAGATGTTCTCGTATTGTTGCCGACAAATATGGTATATGCAAAAATTGTCATGAAAATGCCTATCAATGCAAACACTGCCGTAATATCAACTATGAAAATTTAGATGCCTTCCTCTGTAATGAATGTGGTTTCTGTAAACATGCTAAATTCGAATACTCCTTCACTTGCAAACCAACAATCGCTATTGAAAAGATTGAAAATCAAGAAGATCATAAGAGAGCCATCGCAACAATTGAAAAAGAATCTGAAAATGCTCATAAAAAATATCAAAGACTAATTGGTTTTAAAAAAGTTATTTCAAATCTCGTTACCTCTTTCGAAACTCAGGAACCATGGTCAAAAGATGATTTGGTATCTTCTTTCACTGGTGGAAGTACTACTGCTGCTTCATTTGGTGGTAGCTTATCAACATCCTCCACTACAGCCCCCGCTACTACCTCGGCCACTGCTGCTGTTATCAATACTGGTGCCTCAACCTCTGCCACAACAAGTAGCTCAAATCCATCCTCTGCCACAACAAGTAACTCTACATCAATTATTACCTTAAGAATTAACAAAAAGATTGGTTATTTAAGTAGACTTTACGAACGTGAATGCAAGAGTCTCTTTGAAGCTCTTAGTAGAAGTGTTCAAATTCTTCAAACAAATAGAACCGAAATTGCTAAATATATTAATTTCATTGGTAATAAAGATCATGAAAGTAGTGTTAATGATCAATCCAAATGTAAAACCCATACTCGTGAAGAAAACAAATGTTATGGTTGTTCATGCTCTTTTATTGAACAAACACTAGGTTTCTTATTCTCAATTTCCAGAAATCAAGCTTTATCACCAATCAAAGAACAATTAATCTTAAAAGGTTTACCAAAAGAAATCTTTTTCAACAATATCCACCATGGCAAAGGTCTTTCAAAGATTTATGCAAGATCATCAATTTCTTTCCTTTGCAAAACAAATCCATCATGCACAAATCTTGTTAACAACTGGATAAAAGAAAAGATTGTTTATACTCTTGAAAACTTTTCAAGTATTGATGTACCAAACATGATTTCAAGTGAAATGGCATTATTAAAAGATCTTGCAACTCTCTCTGATAATCTCTGGGAAAATAGATTTGGTTTTATTATGAACCTTTTCTTCAAAGCACTTTCAGTTGGTTCACAAAATCCAGTAATTTCTGAATTTATTATTCTCCCATCTCTCAAGATTATTATCTATCTCGCCACTTTAGATCGTTCAGGTGCTTTTAATAGTAAAGATCAAAAAGAAATTGAAAAGTCTCAAAAGATTTTATCGACCAAATTTGAAAAATTAAAATCAAAGAAACAACCAGTTACCGAAAAGAAATCTGTAGATACAGCCAACAACATAACCACCCCCGTTGCCACCACTAATTTATCAATTAACGAATCAAAGATTTTATCACCTTCTTCAAACTCCTCATCCTCATCCTCTTCATCTAATGGAAATAACGAGGGTAATAATGCCCAAGATTCAAGTAATATTCTATCAATGTTTGATCATGACTCTTCAAATGTCAATGAATCATGGGATGGCGAATCGGGTAGTGATCAATCAATGCATTCATCAACAAGCAGTAATCAATCCTCTAGTAGCATTAATAACAGTAGTAGCAGTATTAATATAGCAAATACTTCCTCAGCATTACTCGATATCTGGTCTCAAAAATATGAAAATTATTTATTAAATTTCGTTAGCTCCTCAAACAACAATAACAACAACAATTTTGATGAAGAGAAACAATTAGCCTATAAATATTTCAAAAAATGGTCAGCTCAAGTTAAAAAGAATAAACTATCTGGTTTTGAATTATTATTTGAAGAAAAATGGTTAGGTAAATTACTTTTTAACTCAATATCCTCAATCAGACTCGACATTATCACATTAATGGGTATTCTCAGTAAATCAAGCAATATCAGAACTCTTAAATTTTTAGATTTACTCACAAAAATGCTCCCACAAGCAATCACTGCAGGTGAATACTCTGCCGAATTCTTTGGTCTCTTTAATAGCTTTATTCAAAACTCACCAGAAAGAAAGATTTATTTAGCAGTTAAAGGTTTTATTCCTTACATTTGCGATTTAATTATCAAAGAAATCGAATCAATCAAATTAAAAGAGAAATCATTCAACACCGATATATCCCAAGGTTTTGTATTAAAAATTTTAATTTCCATTTTGAAGTCATTCCTCGAAGTTCCAAACTTAAAGATCAAGATGAAAAAAGATAATATTATGGAAAAGGTTTTAGATGCATTCTTATCACTTCGTGGTGTTATTGTTCAAAAGAATAAACTCACTGAAGACTCTGTTAAATACCTTCAAGAGTTAATGAAATCATTAAATAGCGAATCCGTAGAAGATAACAAGAAATTCATGGCTGCTAATATCAAAGCTCTTTCCAAATATTACAATGATGGTAGAACTCCAATTTTCATTTTCGAGCAATTATGTAATATTGTTTGCCCAACAAAACCAGAACCAATTTATCAACTAATACTCTTTAAAGCTTCAACTCAAGAAGAATATATTAGAGGCTCAATGAACAGAAATCCATATGCCTCCAATACTCTCGGTCCATTAATGAGAGATGTAAAGAACAAGATTTGTAAAACCCTAGATCTTGGCAGCTTTTTAGATGACGATAATGGTATGGAATTACTTGTAGATAATAAAATTATCAAACTAGATCTCCCAATTCGTAAAGTATATGAACAAGTTTGGAAGAGAAGTGCCCAAGCTCAAAGATCAGGTGATATCGATATTCCAATGAATGTTATATATAGACTTCAAGGTTTAGATGGCGAAGCTACAGAAGAAATTATTGAAACTTTAAATGATAATAATTCAGAAGAAAAAGATCCAGAAGAAGAATTTGAAATTACCAGTGTAATGGCTGAATGTAGTGGACTTGATGCAATGATCTCAACAATTGAAAAAATTAAAAACTTCTCAATCGAAAAAGAATTGGCCCATTTAGTTATCAAATTATTATATCACTGTTGCAAGATTAAAGTTAATCGTCAAAAATTACTTACTCTTAACACTGTTGGTAGATTATTAGAGAAATTAAAATCAGTATTCGAACAACCAGACCTTTCCGAACACTTTTTAGTCATTATAGAATCAGTTGTATCTGAAGCAAATCGTGATTACCTCCGTGGTTCAAGCTCATCAACCTCACTCTCCACCCACCACAAAGGCATTAAAGAAGCCCAAGAACAAATGTCAATGTTTTTAGATAAACTTGATACTCCAAATGTTCGTTCAAATCCAAAGATTATTCAAGCCATGACCAGAATCATTCCTTTCTTAACCTATAGTCACAAAGAAGTCATGGGCTATCTTGTAGATTTCTTCACTGATTATCTCAACTTTGATGAATATGACCAATCAAAGAGCAAAGATAGTAATTATACTAATCATTTAGATTTCTTTAGTAAAGTTTTAGAATGCACTAGACCAGATAGTAATGGAAACAATCTTCGTTCTTTAATCATGGAAAGAGGTATTTCTCAACAACTAATTGATTATCTTTTAATGCATTTCCCAGAAGATAAAGAAAAGACCTCACAAGAATGGATGGATTCATTAGAAAAACCAGCACTTCCTTATGTATTAGTATTATTTAGAGGCTTAGCCATGGGTCACGAACCAACTCAAAGCTTGGCATTCAAGAATAAACTCGTTAAGAGAATTCATATTTTAGAAGAAACAAGTACAAGTGCTAAAATAGGTAGTTTAGCTGAAAATCTCCTAGAAACCATTGCCGAAGGTAGTCCAGAAGCCGCTAAAGCAATCTCTGATATCCGTAAAGAATCAAAGTCTGAAAAATTAAAACAAGCCGAAAAACATCGTGAAGGTGTTCTTAAAGAATTAGGTCTTGCCCAACAAGGAAAACATATTACAGCAAACTTTGTACCTAGCTCAATTGAGGATCTTGAAGAGGATGAAGGCTTTACATGTATGGTATGTCGTGAAGGTTACTCTTTCAAACCAGATGACGTTTTAGGTATCTATACCTATAGTAAAAAAATTCCATTACACTCTGTTAGTGAAACAACAACAAGCTCATCATCATCATCACCAACCGGTGCATTATCTTATGGCTTTACAACTGTTACACATTTCAATTTCATTCATTTCTATTGTCATCGTGATGCTGCCAAAGCTGATAGATGCATGAAAGTTCCAAAAGAAGAATGGGAGGGTGCAGCTTTAAGAAATCAACAAACTAAATGTAATGGTCTTTTACCAATTATTCCACCAAAGATGTCACCTGATACATTTGCTCCATATTCAGATAAATTCTGGTCTAATCTCAATAGTATTTCTCGTATAGATGGTCCAAGATTCCGTATTCTCACCCATGATCTTAAATTCCTTTTCTTACGTCTCTCCAAAGATGAATCATTCAGCGTAGATAGCAAAGGTGGTGGTAAAGAAAGTAATATTAGAATTGCTCCCTTCTTTATTCAATTGGGTATGTTTTTATTAGACCAAAAATTAACCGGTGGTAATACCTCAAATCAATTAAGACGTCCTCAATTTGATAAATTCTTAAACCAATTCACCTCAATGACTCTTGACACTGCAGTTGTATCAATGAATCAAATACCAGCTGACAACTGTCCATACTATTTAGTAATGTCTCTCTTCCTTCTTTCTCCAAAAGAATGGGAGGCTCAAAAATTCAACTTCCTCAACAAACTCATTTGCTATTCATTCGTTGAATACTTTATCAATGCTAAAAAGAATGGTTTGACCACTCCTGAATTACCAACAAAAGAAAAACTATTTGATATCACCCGTAATTGGTTCATTTTCTTCTCATTAGTCTCCAAATTTAGTGATATTATTAAACCATCCTCACAAATGACTCAAGAAAACTGGATTCAAGACACCAAACAATATTTAGCAAATAGTTTCACAAAGATTCAAGGTGAAGTTAAAGAACTATTAAGTTGTTATGAAGACGAATTAAAGGAATTTATCAACCAAGATGAATTTTTAGATGATTTAAACCTTTTCAAAAATGTTTTATCAGAGCATAAAGATTCAAATGAATATTTATTAAAAACCTATAAATTTGTTAAAGCAAATTTTAAGTGAACAAAACAATTAAATAAATAAAAAATTAAAAATTTAAAAAATAATATTTATGCATTTCCTCTTTTAACTCCAAACAAATTATATTTAATAATTAACCTTTAAGAATTTGTAATTCAAGTTATAACATAAGGTTTTTATATATTATTTATATAATATTTTTTTTTTTCTTTATTTCTTTAAATTTTTTATAATTATTTGATTATTTATTTGATTTGATTATTTATAAAATTATTTTATTCCTCATCTTCATCTTCGTGATCTAAATTTTCAAAGGTTTCAGCATCGGCAGATGGTGGAGCGAATTTTGAGGTATCTAAGAATTTAGAGACCAAAGTTCTAAGATTTTTAGAAAGTTTCTTTAATTCGGCAATGACTTGATCAACATTCCAGTTGTTACTCTTGAAAAGGTCATAAAGAGCTGGGGAAGTGCAAATAATTGAAGTTGATTGTCTATTAACTTCAGGATTTGAGGTTGTGTATCTAGTGGCAGTTTCATCGTTGACTTGGAATTGAAGAGCATTATCATCAGATCTATAAATTGACACCTTACGAGTAATAATTGATTCGACAATGAAAAGATTGCTATCTGGGATTTGATAAGTGTTATTACCAGATGAGTTTTTAAAGATTTTAACTGATTCAATAAATTTAAGAAGATTATCGTTTAATAATTTACTCTTTGATTGAGTGTCAATGGTTAAACGAAGATCTGAACCAGATTTAATTTGTGGGAAGAGGATTTTAGAACTATTAACATGTGAAAGCTTGTAGATTTGAGGATTTGAGAATTTATATTCAACATTTGGTGATTCTGGTGAGGTGGATGTTGTTGAGCTTGTTGAACCAACTTTTTCTTCGCTACATTTAATGCATAAAAGATCGAGTGATTCTGTGTCTAAAACTGAAATATATGTGTGTGGTTTCTTTTGTTTATATAATTTATAATTTGAAGATGAAATAAAGTTTTCATTGATAACATTTGATGGTTGGAAAACTGAGGCAAGGCTTTCAGTGTATAATTCATATTTATCAGAAGTCATTGGAGTTGATGGAATATTTGAACTATGAAGATACCAGATTTTACCAGCTTCAATGTCTATACATGGTCTAGAGTTATCTTTGTCGGCATGAAGAGTGCTAACTGTTTCAATTAAACGTGATACATATTGAACATCGCTACTATTAATTATTTCTTGCATTGCTTGAACATCGCTTGGATCGATAGCACCGCTTTCTAAAACAACTTCACTAAAATGTGGTTGGTGTACAAATTTAATCTTTTGTTCGCCTTTATAATCGATTAATGAAAGATATTTTGGTGATGTATTCTTTAATTTCAATACAATTTCTTTAGCTCTATCTAATTGTTGAGCATCTGCACACTTGATAATAGCTCTGTCTTTTGAAACTTTTAATCTGGCAGTGGTAGCTTTATTTAAAAGACCCCAAAGAGATCCCTTGACACCAATAATGGCACCACCACTAAATGGTGGGAGTGAAACAATACTAGTTAATAATCTTGGCCCTGTCTTTTGATATGATGAACTATAAAATGATTGACCTCTGTATCCGCCTCTTGATCCGCCTCTGTGTGAACCTCTTGATGATCCTCTGTGACCTCCTCTATGTCCACCTCTAGTTGTGTTTGTGTTATTATTAATATAATGATTACCTGTATTTGATGAATTTAAACCTGGAGAAATAATTGGTTGGTTACCACCATTACTGTGATGATTTGGACGATGTGATGGTTTATTAAATTTAGATAAATAATGTGTTTGTGGTTGGTGTTGTGGTGAAGTTTGAGATTGATGATGTGGTGGTGATTGTTGTTGTTGCTGTTGTTGATGTTGGTGTGGATGTTGATGTTGATGTTGATGTTGGTGTTGGTGTTGGTGTGGAATTTGTTGTTGTTGTTGTTGTTGTTGTTGTTGATGTGGAAGTTGTTGTTGTTGTTGATGTGGAAGTTGTTGTTGTTGTTGTTGTTGTTGATCAAAAGTATGTGGTGGTGATTGTTGTAATTGGTCTACTGGGTGCTGTTGTTGCTGTTGAAAAGTTTGACCTCCATGTCTTGGAGTATAGGTTTTGCTTCCTCTCATATGAAATTTACCTGGTGGATGTGAAATACCTCCTAAAATTAATTTTTGAAATTAATTAATTTTTTATTTTATTATTAAACTTTATTTATTTCTGTATTTATTTTTTATTAAATAAATATTTTTTAATTTGTTATTAGATTTTATTATTTATATTGTTATTTGTTTTGTTGTTATTGTTATTATGAATTATATTATTTTTATAATTTTCTGAAATTTTTTTATTTTTTTTATTTATTTTATTTTTTTTTTTTTTTTTAAAAAAAACTTACTATTATTCATTTTTATTTACTGTTTATTTTCTATTAAAACTAACCAATAAAAAATTATAGTTTCTACAGAGTTATAATTGTGTGACTTTTAAAATTGAAAAAAAAATTAATAAAATCAATCTATATTAAGTAAATATAGATTGTTAACCCTTTTAGTAAATAGAAAATAATATATATTGTGAAATTAAAAAAAAAAATTTTAAAAAATTATAAAAAAAAAGAAAAAAAAAGAAAAACAAAATAATTAAAAAAAATCAAAAAAAATTAATATTTTTTTTTAAATTTAAAAATTTTTAAAAAAAATAATAAATAGTGTGAACATACTAACGAAGTTCACATGTGAATATTATTTCAATATTCAACCAAGCTTAAAAAAGAAAAAAAAGAAAAAAAAGGTATGAAAAAAACAAATAAATAAAAATATTTATAAAAAAAAATAAATAAAAACAAAAAAAAATAAAAAAAATAAAAAAAATAAAAAAAATAAAAAAAACTAAAATAATAAAAAAATTTTAAAATTAAAATAAAATAAAATTCATAGTAATGGCTATGTATTAAAATAATTTATCAAATATTGTGATAAATTTTTTCTATTTATATATTAATTTATTTATTTATTTATTAATTAATTAGTTTGTATTATTATTATTATTATTATATTTTATTAATAAATCAAATTTTGTGTTATTTGTAATGGGTTGTTGATTTAAAAACTTTTTGTTTTTCGGTATTACTATTTAGAGAAGGTACATTTCTAGCTTGTTCAGGTTCAAATTTAGCAATAATTGGATTATTAAATTGAAGATATTGTTGTTTAATTTGTTGTTTACCATTTTTTACTCTATCAATAATTGTGTCTCTATTTGCAAAACCTTTTGGACCCATTTGTTCAACCAAAAATGATGCACCAGAGCTACCTACTTGTAAACAATGAATTAACTCTTCTCTTTTTATATTTCTTTTTAATAAAATGTCTTTTTCATAATTATTTTGATTATGTATGGTATTACTTGAATTTACATTATTGAAAAGTTGATGGCTTGGATCGTTTAATAAATTTAAAATTTCTAATACAGTACATGTTAAAAAAGTATCACCACACCCAGTTTCATCTGAAACCTTTTCAGGTTTAAAGGTTGGAATATAGATTTCACCAGTGATGGATGATGAAAGGAAAAGACCGTCTCCTCCCATAGTGACAGCAACAATTGTGAAGCCAAAATTTTGACGTAATAGTTTTGCGCATGTAGCAGGATCGTGCTCTCCCATAATGGCAGCGGCTTCGCCATACTCTGCCTTGACAACAGTGACAATATCGTCCATATCGTTTAATGATATCTTGATATTTACTAGTTTTTGAATCATGATATGCATTGGACGTGTTGTAACGCGACTTCCATTAAAACATCTGAGGAAGCCTTGAACATCAAAAGCAATGACGGGGTTATATGGTAAATTTTGTTCTTGTTCATTATGGTCTACAAATGGTTTATTTGTTTTTTTATTCATTTTTTTAATATGGTCTAATGTCTCGGTGACTAATGATTCATCAAATTCCCCAGATACTGGTACAAAGAGTAAGGCATTAGGGCGGACTCCTTCGATACATTTAATACAGTTTTTTGCTTCAATGTTAAATCCTTTTTCCATTAATGATAGTGTTCTATTCTTTTTATTGTTATAGTAATTTAAATAATAACTTGTATTTTTTGTATTCGATTTATCATCGATATTTGAATAACTTAAATCTATTGAACCTTCATCACCCTCTTTATTTATTAATTTTGATTTTATTAATGATTCAAACTCTTGATTGATGTCGTTTCCCATCTTTGTTACTATAAAACTGTTGGTATCACCAAAATAATGAGCTGCAAGTGAACCATATGTAACTGAACCACCCAACGCATCGGCTTTAATAACCTTTTGTGTTGGTTGCTTTGCTAATTCTTTTTGATTGTCTGGTGACATAAAGTCTGTGAAAGATCTTTCTCTTCCTAATTTTAAATCTGTATGAATTAAAATTACATCATTTACAAAGTTACCAATAAATAATATATTTTTTTTCATTTTTTTATTATTTTTTTTATAATTTTCTGTACAAATAAATAGTTTAGTGAATGATTATTTTGATTGATTTGTTTTAAATAAAATAAAATTTTATTTTTTTAATGTGATTTTTTATAAAAAAAAAAAAAACTAATTTATTAAAAATATATTTTGATATTAAAAAATCAAAAAAGTTTAAACTTTTTTAGTTTATTAAATATTATTTGTTTAGTTTTTTTCTATTGCTATTATTTTAAAAGATAAAGGATATTATAAAAATATTTATGTGTGGTGTCTATAAAAATAATA